GGAGCGCCACCGCACTCCCAAGCGGCGCACTGTAGCAGTGCGCCACCGGGCCGGCCCAATGTGCCTGAAGTTTTAATCAGTTAATGTTTACTGGTAGCCTGTTTTATGTCCTACTTGATCTGTTTCTACATTTTTAATATGCTGACACAAATAATCCCAAGCCCCAGTGACCTTTAGAGACATGGATACTGACATCCTTGGGCATGTCTTTCTGATTTTTCTGTAAATAAGCAATGCCCTTTGTAATATTTTTTTAGTGCCACCCCTTGGGACCTGGAACTCAGGAGGCTCTTAATGCAACCCTGGTCTTCCTTTAGGGAGACTCCCCCCTTCAGCTGCAGGAGGAGGGGCTCGGGTGCTGTGGAAGGCTCTCTGCAGCAGGGGTGGCAGGGGGTTTAAAAGTCTCTAACTCTTTTAGAGTTTAGAGTCTCAACTTTGATTACTTTTGCTCCTCCCAGGAAAGGCCTTAACTCACCTTTCTCTGCATCTTCAGTTGATTCTGAAAAGTCTGCTTTTCTAATTTTTTTCCCCACAGTTAAAGCCCGGAAGCCATATAGCTATATATGCTGCTGACTAACTTTGCTTGTTCGTCTTAATTTTTAACTCTCAAATGTTTGTGACTTGACACTGATGTTTTTCTAGATTGCATCAGAGTCAGCCAGAAATAGGCATAAAAGTAAAACAAAATATTTATGTTTTTATAAAATACTTTTTTTTTTTTGTGACCGGTAAGGGGATCACAACCCTTGGCTTGGTGTCTTCCGCACCGCATTCAGCCAGTGAGTGCACCGGCCATCCCTATATAGGATCCGAACCCACGGCGGGAGCACTGCTGCGCTCCCAGTGCCGCACTCTCCCGAGTGAGCCACGGGATCGGCCCTAAAATACTTTTTTTGTTGTTAGCAAGAGGCTTAGGGAAAAATCACAGACTATATCATTTAAATTAAAACATTAAAAATACTTTTAAACAAAAGTTAATGGGCTTTTAGCAAAAATATATGGTGATTTCTTCATAGAAGTGCGTCAGTTTTCTTTTGCAGGAGGGATGAAGCTGGCTTGTACAGGGATCCAAACCCTTGACCTTGGTGCTATAAAATTTTCTTTTTTTAATGCTCTCACCTAAGTGGTTCTCTGTATCTGAATCATACTTCAGAGATTTTTGCAGCCCATTGACATTTCTTCATTTTACCATTAGCTGGAATCACATCTTGCTAAGGGAGTGGCTTGTTGCTTTTAGAACTTGAAAAGACCTAAAGCTGACAAATTGAGCATTAATAAGTTTACTGATAAGTTTAAGCTCACATAGGGTTGCTTATGAAAGTGTTAAACATTCTCTCTTGGTTGAATAGTATTTAAAGAATATGTTAGTTACCTCTTCACATAATTCTCAGATTGCTTTTAATAGGTTTGTTTCTAAAATAGACTGAACCTGAAATAGTTGTACTTCTAATGCCCCAGGGTCAAAGAAGTTCTTAAGTGGCAGCATTTTTTTTCAATTGTGGTAAACAACATATAACATAAAATTTACTATCTTAACCATTTTTAGGTGTACAGATGGTAGTGCTAAGTATATTTATATTGTTAAACAGATCTCTAGAACTTTTCATCTTGCAAAACTGAAACTCTGTATCCATTAAACAATTCCCTGTTTCTCCCTCCCCCAACCCCTTGTAACCACCATTCTACTTTATGTCTCTGAATTTGACTACTTTAGAGACCTCATACAAGTGAAATCATACAGTAATTGTCTTTTTGTGACTGGCTTATTTCATTTAACATAATGTTCTCTAGGTTTATCTATGTTGATGCATATATCAGAATTTCCTTCCTTTTTAAGGCTGAATAATATTGCATTGTATCTACAGTCATATGTCACTTAACGGGGGTACATTCTGAGAAACGCATCGTTATGTTATTTCATTGTTGTGTGAATATCATAGAGTGTACTTTACACAAACTTAGATGTTCTAGCCTGCTACACACCTAGGCTAGTATAGCCTTTTGCTTCTACGTGAGTAATGCCTTGCTCTACAAAATTACGATGGCTGCCACATCACTGGGCAATAGGAGTTTTTCAGCTCTGTTATAGTCCTTTGGAACCACCATCGTATGTGCAGTTCATTGTTGACCGAAATGTCATTATGCAGTGCGTGACTGTAAAAACCACATTTTGTTTATTCATTCATTCATCACTGGACACTTAGGTTGCTTCTACATCTTGGTTATTATGAATAATGCCACTATGAACATATTTGTACAAATATCTTAGACCCTGCTTTTAAGTCTTTTTAGATAGATACTCAGAAGTGGAATTACTGGACCATATGGCAGTTCTATTTTTTTTTTTTTCTTAATTGAAACATAAATGATTATATGTATTTTGGGGGTACAGTGTTGACTATCAGTATTTGTGTGCAGTATGTGATGATCAAGTCAGTATAATTAGCATGTATGTTATTACAAATTGTAATTATTTTTTGTGTCCCTTACTCAATTTCTCTCTAAATTCTGTCCCCCTCTGCCTTTCCCAGGTAGTTCTGTTTTTAATTTTTTGAGGACCTGACATACTGCTTTCCATAAAGGCTGTAACAAGCAGTGCATAAAAATTTTAATTTCTCAACATTTTTACCAACATGTTATTTTCTGGGGTTTTTTTTTTTTTTTTTTTTTTTATAATAGGAATTTTTGGGGGGCTTTTTTATGTTTTTTTTTTTTTTTTTTTATAATAGGAATTTTTGGGGGGCTTTTTTATGTTTTTTTTTTTTTTTTTTTATAATAGGAATTTTTGGGGGGCTTTTTTATGTTTTTTTTTTTTTTTTTTTATAATAGGAATTTTTGGGGGGCTTTTTTATGTTTTTTTTTTTTTTTTTTTTTTTTAATAATAGGCATCTTCGTGGGACTTCATTACGATTTTGATTTGCATTTCTCTGATTAATGATGTAATGCATGTTTTCTTGGCAGTTTATAAATCATCTTTGGAGAAATGTCTGTTCAAGTCATTTGACATTTTTTAATCAGGTTATTTGATTTTTTTGTTATTGAGTTGTAAGGGTTCTTCATATATTCATGATGTTAGCCCCTTATCAGATATACGAGTTGCAGATACTTTCTCCCTTCTGTAGGTTGCCTTTTTACTCTGTTGATTGAGTCTTTTGGTGTGCACACGTTTTAAAGTTTGCTGTAGTTCCACTTGTTTATTTTTGCTTTTGTTGCCTGGACTTTTGGTGGCATGTCCAAGAAAGTATTGCCAAATCCAGTGTCATGAAGCTTTTCCCTTATGTTTTCTTCTAGAAGTTTTCTAGTTTTGGGTCTTACTGTTAGGTCCTTAATCCATTTTGAGTTAATTTTGGTGTAAGATAAAGGCCCAACTTTATTCTTTTGTGTGTAGATATCCAGTTTTTGTAGCCTCGTTTGTTGAAGAGACCGTCCTTTCCCCCACTGAGTAGTCAGCATTTGTTTTATGGAAGGTTATTAGGAGTTCTTCCTCAGCTCTGGTTTATTACAAACCATTCATCTTTCCAGGAGTGTTAAGGCAGTTATGTATCGTGTTGCATGGTGTATTAGTCCTTTTCTGTCTCTCATAGCAGAGTACCTGAGATTGGGTAACTTACAAAGAAATGAAATTTATTTTTTATATTTTTGGAGGTTAGGGAGTCCAAGGTCCAGGCAACACATCTGGTGAGAGCCTTATTCTTGGTGGGGGCTCTGTTTAGGGTCCTTTGGCAAAGCAGGATGTCACATGACAAGGATGGCCTGAGCAAGAGAGCTAACCTGCTCACTCGCTCTCCTATAAAGCCATCAGAACCATGCCCGCAGCAGCCCATTAAACCATCAACCCATCACTCCATTAATGGATCAGAGTCCTCACAATGCAGTCACCTCTTAAAGGCCCCACCTTCCACCACCATATTGGGGTTTAAGTTCCAAAATGAGGTTGAGGGTACATGCAAATCACAGCACATTGTGGGTGAGTTTATGGAAACAAGAGTAGTGGCCTCAGGTTGCTGGAGGGCAGTTTCCTGTGCTGCAGGGGTTAATGAGCTGTGGCCTTTTACAAATGGCAGAGGAGAGCTGCACTGATTGAGGGATGAACCATTGTGATCATTTGGATTTGGACTGTGGCCAAATCCTATTAAAGTCACAGTTACTTTGAGGTAGTTTATGTGTCAGAGGACTGTTAAGTTGTCTATTAAAAAAGTTGTTTTCATCGTGGGTAATATTGAATATTAAGTTCTTTCTGGACTTTGAATTTTAAGTATCTTGTAGAGTGAGCTGATGAACTTTTGGATCATTTTGCGGCTGTGACTGCAAAGGTGAGCTTCTCAGATTAACTTCTGATTTCCAGAATTCTAGTTCCTCACTTCTTTGCTGTGCCCTCAGTAGCCCGAGAGCTCAGGGTCATTGCAGACTAGTGAGCTGGGTGGGGCAGTCCTGCTGAGTTACTTGAGCAGTGGGGAACATGGGACTTCTCCTCAGTGTTGCGTAGCTTCCCTGAAGGAACGTCAGTCATCCTTTCATCATGGAGGACATCGTAAAATCTGTGGACGTTTTTCTCTTGTGTAACTCAGGAACGTTTTTGAGCATTTCGGACTTCAATGGAAGATGTATTCAAAATAATAAAAAGAAACTCAGCTTTTGCATTGAAAACTATTTCATGCATTTTACTAAGTTGGCTTCTTAGGGTGCTCTGCTCAGTGATTATGAAACATGCTGATGACAACAGTATGCTGAGAGGTCAGGAGCCCGCTGCCACCTGTTTTTCTTAGCTAGTCACCATTCTTATTTCTGATGGTAGTTGGATATAAATTGCTGATCAAAAATGAAATGCTTAATATTACATGACTTGACCTTTTCTTTTTTTAATTGTAAAATACACATATTAACTTTTGAAAACTGTCATTTCAGAATTTCTAGAAGGAGGAGTTGGCCACGTTGAGATGTTATTTCGCTGCAACTATTTAGCTTTAGTTGGTGGTGGAAAAAAGCCAAAATACCCTCCCAACAAAGGTAAAGTAACCATGTATTAAGAACCATGCCTCGTGTGTAGGAGCGTTTTGAACTTCTTAGGACGTCTTTATGTCTGTGGCCACGTGTGATCTTCCTAGGTAGACTTATGAAGTATGAAGGGCTAGTCACCAGGGAAGATACAACCAGAAAGAGTGTGTGGTCACTGCACTGTTCCCAGAAGGAATGTGTGAAAAGGACCACTTGTTCCCACTGACGTGCAACGCCTGCTTTTTAGTTAATATTGGCAAATGGGAAGTGGGGGCATTGCCACACCTGTGGTATCATGCAGGTATCATGCAGGTCATGAGTTCACAGGAGCAAGGCGTGGCAGGCAAGCCATTGATTAACAGAAACATTAGTTTGGTGGCCACATAAAAATCAGTTGGCTCTGGGTTTACAGGTATTGTTCTGGTTTTGGTGTGTGTGTATTGAAGGCAGTTGCAGTGTGAGAAGTCTGGCCCTTTTAAAGTAAAAGGAGGAACAGAAAGCTTTACCCACCATATACTTCATGCCTGCAAACTAGCTTCAACTAGCTCTGGGTTGAGGGAAGAGGGCTTGAAAAGGAGGGTAGAACACCGGGAGAAATGGAAGGCTGATTGGGGCCAGACTGGGGGGCCTTGAATGCCAGGCGAGGGTATGGCCAGGAAAAAGACGCCACCATGTGTGTTTTAGGGAAGTTCTAATCTAGGAGCCATGTATAAGATGGAGTGAAGAGATACCACAGGTTGGAGGCAGAGATGGGAAGCCTTTGTTCAAGGGGAGAGGTAGGAAAAGAGAAGTAGGTGCTGGGAGGTGGGGGTGGGAGGAGGAGGCGCGAGGAAAGACCTCTGGGCCTGTGACCACTGGTGGCCTGGAGGAGTGTTGGGTGGGAGCCCAATGGTGACAGGTTCCAGAGTAGGTGGGGGGGGAAGGAGGTGGGAAAGGGAGAGAGGGTAATGAGGGAGGTGGGGAAGAGTGGAGATGGCGATGAAGCTGGGGCTGCATGCTGAGAGTGGGACGTGCTCCACCAGCACCGTGGGTATGAGGACAAGCCCGGGGTCTGCTTGAAACCATGCAGTTGGGGATAGCCCAGGCTGGTGCAGGAGGAAGGAAAGGGATTGTGTGGAAAGGCCACACGTTTCCACGCGACCTGAGGGCCATGGGGCACAGTCCCACGAATCGCATGAATGTGAATATGGAAAACAGAGCCTACACTCAAAAGAGGGTTAGCCCCGATGTGTTTGTTTTTGTTTTAGAATTAGGAGCAGAGAAATAAAATGGAAAAATTGTTGGCAGGAAAAACAATGAGAGACTGAGTTTGAGATCTTGGCCTTTCAGCAGTTCTGCAGGCTCACAGGTCCAAGGTTTGTCTGTGTTGAGCCCTAAAGCAGAGTGGAATGTGGCTGCTAACACGACCCCGATAGGCAGAGGCCTGTGGCTTGTGAGTCCTCTGAAAGAGGCCACCTGGAAGTGACACCAGAGGTGTCCCTGCTCAGAGCGTGGGTCAGGTTTTACAGTGAAATAGGAATTACTTTACCCTGGCTACTTAGGGATGTACAGAAGTCCTGCGGCCGGATAGGTGTCTTGTCATGAAGAATTTGATTGACCATTGATGAGGGAAGAGAGCTTTGGGATGGAAAGTCAGGAGGCTGGAGCACGGCTTTCCTTGACCCTTCTCTGCGCTGTTCGAGGAGGAGTGTCAGTGGCCTCCCAGACTCTGTTAGGGAACAGTTTGTACTAGATTGTCTTACGTCTGGTTCACCTGTAAAATCCGGTACTCATCAAGAAACTTAAGTTGTCCAAGAAGTGTAAAAATCTTAGAAATTTTACAGTCTTAGAAGAGAGCAATTTTCAAACGGGTTTTTTTTTTTTTTTTTTTTTTTTTTTTTTTTTTTTTTGTCTTTTCGTGAGACCGGCCGCACCGCGCTCAGCCAGTGAGCGCACTGGTCATCCCTATATAGGATCCGAACCCGCGGCAGGAGTGCTGCTGCGCTCCCAGTGCCGCACTCTCCCGACTGCACCACGGGCTCGGCCCTTCAAACGGGTTTTTGACTGATGTGCTTTTTGTAGAGTCTAGAGGCAACGTTTTTATTAAAAGCTTTATTTTTTAGAGCAGTTTTAGGTGAGCGGGAAGTACAGAGTTCCCATACGCTCCTCGTCCCCACACATGCACAGCCTCTCCCACCATCAAATCTGCATCAGAGTGTAACTTCTGTTACAGTCAGTGAACCCACACTGACACGCAGTTGTCACCCAAAGTCCTTGGTTTATGTTAGGATTCCCTCTTGTTGGTGTACATTCTGTGACTTTTGAGAAATGTATAATGGCATGTACCCACCATTACAGCACCATACGGAATAGTTCCACTGCCGTAAACATCCTCTGTGCTCCACCTGTTCATACCTCCCTTCTGCCCAACCCTTGGCAACCACTGATGTTTTTACTGTCTTTGTAGTTTTGCCTGAGGTTGAATCCCTGGTACAGCCCCACTGTCCTGGTTGTTCCCTAAGGCCTCCCAGGTGCAGGTGTTTGGGTGTGTCTGATGCCCAGGGGTTGGGGTTAGGGGTGAGGGAGAGTGGGACAGTGGTGCCCAGTGTGGAGGGCAACCACCTTATGTGTCAAGGTGGCCTCTCTGCGACCAGCACTCAGCCTGCTTATGATTGCATCCATAAATTCTTTCTGATATTTCAGTGATGATCTGGGATGACCTGAAAAAGAAGACTGTTATTGAAATAGAATTTTCTACAGAAGTCAAGGCAGTCAAATTGCGGCGAGATCGGTAGGTTTGGTATCATTGATTCTTAAAAGTGGAATTTCACTTTCTCTAAAGATGGCTGGAAATGCTTTTCTGTGGAAGGAAAAACCATCTTGGGGCTGGTTGGTTAGCTCAGTTGATTAGAGCACAGTCTTGTAACACCAAAGTCAAGCGTTCGGATGCCCTTACCAGCCAGCCTGCCCCAAGAAAAGAAGAGAAAAATGTTTAGGAAACAATATATTAAAATGTTGATAACTAGTTTATGGCCCAGAGGACGTAAGGATTATTCATGTTGCAGTACTGGAGGTAGTGAATTGTACTGGCTTCCAGGGCCCTGTAGAGGTGAGTACTTGGCAAGTGTGAATGAAATGCACCTGCCTTGGGCCTGGCAGTGACTCTGCTCCTTCAGGAGCACTGTCCCCATTCAGCAGACACAGAGCCATGCATATGAGTTGTGAAACTTGAATTGCCTCACTGTTAGCTATACTTTGCAAACACGCCTATCAGTAATTGTTATGGATTTGAGGGTAAAGGATAATTTGGAAGCTCCTTAGTGAGCAGGTGTTATTGAATCATACCTTTCAAAAGTAGCAGGTTTCTCTGTCAACCATTGCCTTAATGGTGTTTAGGAGAACATGGAAATTCATCCTGGTAGGTTGAGCAAAATAGAGCAGAGCTGCATTCTTTTGTTTTGTTTTGTTTTGTCCTTTTTGAGACCGGCTGCACCGTGCTCAGCCAGTGAGCGCTGTGAGCGCACTGGTCATCCCTATATAGGATCCGAACCCGCGGCAGGAGCTCCGCTGCACTCCCAATGCCGCACTCTCCCGAGTGCGCCACAGGCTCGGCCCTGCATTCTTTTGGATCTTAATTTGATGTGATTTACATGTTGTAGTCTCAGCTGCAGGAGGGCAAAGGCTAAGCAACTGGAATGTCAACAGGCGTTCTTTCGTCCCTGCTATCTTATTTATATTTGTCATTTTTAGTGATGTCAGTATTTAAAGGCCCTTAGTAATGCACGTTTGAGTCAGATCAAGGATCTTCTTTCAAACTCTTCCTAATTATCAAGACATCTGTAAGAGTACAAAAATATAATTTCTGCCCTATGTATTTTTGTGTGTTCTTACTGTAGTTGAAATGTTTGACAGTAATGTCTCTGAACCTCAAAGTTTTTGTAGCTGACCCCTGCCCAGGTGAGAAGAGTTCACGCAGGAGTGCAGGGCCCACATCCACACACCTCCAGGTAGCACGCTGCTGATCTGCTGAGTGCAGGGCCCACGTGCACACACCTCCAGGTAGCACACTGCTGATCTGCTGAGTGCAGGGCACACACGCACACACCTCCAGGTAGCACGCTGCTGATCTGCTGAGTGCAGGGCCCACATGCACACACCTCCAGGTAGCACGCTGCTGATCTGCTTCCAAGGACTCTCTTGCACAGCAGTGTGATGTGGTATTTCCAGTGTTTCTAGGGTTCAAAATTATAAGAACAAAAATCACAAAATGTTTGGGTTTCACTTTTGAGGAGGGGAACTCTGATCATGTTTTTCTTTCCAGAATTGTGGTTGTTTTGGACTCCATGATTAAAGTGTTCACATTCACACACAATCCCCATCAGTTGCACGTCTTTGAAACCTGCTATAACCCTAAAGGTGAGAAATTCAGAGAATGGATGATGATGGGAGCTTGGTGCACAGGGGGGTGCAGACCTGTTCTGGGTGCCCTCTCCTCCAAGTGCATCTTTATCTGAGCAGTGTTGCTGTGGTTAGAGCAGTCATGAGCATAGTCGGGGCACTTTGAAGGAGATGCTGGCTTTTAACTTCCCTGCCTCTTCCCTGGGTCTCCTGTAGTTCTGCAGCTCAGCGTCTTAGATTAGTGGTTTTAAAACCTAACTCCAGGGGCCGGCCCGTGGCTCACTTGGGAGAGTGTGATGCTGATAACACCAAGGCCACAGGTTCAGATCCCATATAGGGCCGGCTTGTGGCTCACTTGGGAGAGCGTGGTGCTGACAACACCAAGTCAAGGGCTAAGATCCCCTTACCAGTCATCTTTTAAAAAAAATTTAAAAACTACTTACCAGGGTCACTGTGGAGGCTGTCTCAGGATGGAGATCTCACTCCCTGCTCCTTCCCACCCAGTGATCTCAGCCGTTCAGGGAGCTCCAGAACCCATATTTTTATTAAATTCTTGTCCGTTCACAACATTGGAGCCACTGAGTTCTGGTCAAACACTTCCTTGCCTTTTCTTCTGGATTGGAGAATTGCTTATGGCTAACTTTATATTGTTTTCATGTTTTTTTAAATTTTGGGGGTTTTCCCCCTAGCTTTGTTGAAGTATGATTTACATAAAACTTACTCATTTTAAGAATATTATTTTATAAATTTTATTCATTGTAAACAGTTGTATAAACACCATTGCAGTCAAGACACACTCATCACCCGAAAATGTTTCCTCAAGCACTCCCCTCCCTCACCTGACCTATCAGTTTTGCCTTTTGACATATGTTTGGTATCTTTCCCTTAGCATAATATGTTTTGTGTGTGTTATTATTTTTCTTCTTTTTATTGCTGAGTAATATTCCACAGTATGGGTAGGTACATCATAACTGTTAATCCATTTGCCAGTTTTCTAACTATTGTGGATAAAAGGTGCTATGAATGTTCACATACCAGCCTTTGTGTGGATATATTTTTTCATTTCTCTTTGTTAATAATACTGAGGAATGCAATTGTTAAGTCATATTGTATGTTTAACTTTATAAAATACTGCCAAGGTACTGCCCAAAGTGAATGTATCTTCTTGCATTCCAATCAGTGATTTACGAATGTTCCAGTATTGTCAGTCTTTTTAACAAAAGCCATTTTTGTGGGTGTGTGATAGTATCTCACTGGTAATAGTATCTCTTGTGGTTTTAGTTTGCATTTTTCTGAAGACTTGTGATGGTGAGCATCTTTTTAAGTGCTTAATTTGCCATTCATGTATCTTCTTTTGTGAAGTGTCTCTTCAAATTTTTTGCGCATTTTTTTAACTGGCTATTTATCTTGTTACTGAGGTAAAGGAATTCTTTATATATTCTAGATATAGCACTTTGTCTGGCATACTTTTGCAGATATTTTCAGCCTGTGGCATTTTGCATAACAGATTTCTTTTATGTCTTCTTCTGGAAGTTTAATAGCTTTAGTTCTTAAGTCTGATTAATTTCAAGTTAATTTTTGTATATGGTATGAGGTAAGGATCCAGGTTTGTTGTTTCTATATGGATATCCAGTTTTGAGTTCCGTTTGCTGAAAAGACTATTTTTTCTGCATTGAATTCACCTTGGTATCTTTGTTTTGATCAAATAAGTGTGAGTTTTTTCCTGGACTTTTAATTCTGTTCCAGTGATCTGTTTTTCTGTTCCTCTGCCAATACCGTATTGCCTTGATTTCTGGAGCTTTAAAGTAGATCTTGGAATGAGATAATACAAGTCCTCCAATCTTGTTTTATTTTACAAAGTTTTTTCTTTTTTCTTTTTTTTTTTTTACCTATTCTAGGGCCTTTGTTTTTTCTTATAACTCTTAGTATCAGTTTGTCTATTTCTTCTAAAAGTTATGATTGCGTTGACTCTAGAAATGAATCAGGTATTAACAATATCACATTTTCAGCCTATGATCACAGCTGTCCATCTATCAGGTCATCTTTGATTTTCCTTTGTGATGTGCAAGCATAGGTCTCGTGCATCTGTTGATAAATTTATTCCTAAGTATTTTGTTTATGCTATTGTTAATGGAGTGGTTGTTAAATTTTGTGATTTTTCATTGCATTCTCAGTTGCCAGCACCATGAAAGACAGTTGATAAAATTTATTCAATATACTGTTCAGCACATGTTTTCAGTTATGAAGGGGTCTCATGGGAGGTATCTTTGCTTGGCCCTCTTATACCCTTTACAGTGAAAAGTCTTTAAATTAATTTTATGATTCTTTTTTTGTCTTTTTATTTTGTCTTTTTTTTTTCCGTGTCCGGCAACAGATCGCAACCCTCAGTGTTGCCCCCGCACCGGACCGGGGACCGGCAACGGGACTGCAACCCTCGGTGTTGCTCCCGCGCCTCGCTCAGCCAGTGAGCGGGAACCGGTCTGTATGTGGGATCCGAACCCTCGGGCGGGAGCGCCACCGCGCTTCCCAAGCGGCGCACTATCCAGTGCGCCACCGGGCTGGCCCTAATTTTATGATTCTGATATAAATGAAAACCCATTAAATACTGTGTTTTCTGAGGACTTGAGGGTGGAGAATAGGTTTTGGTTGAGGGAAATCAGAGGCTTTGAGGTCGGCTGACATTTCCTGATGGGTTTCTCTGTCTCTGTTTAGGCCTCTGTGTCCTGTGTCCCAACAGTAACAACTCCCTCCTGGCCTTCCCGGGCACACACACTGGCCACGTTCAGCTCGTGGACCTGGCCAGCACTGAAAAGCCGCCTGTGGACATTCCCGCACATGAGGGCGTCTTGAGCTGCATCGCTCTCAATCTGCAGGGAACAAGAATCGCAACCGCATCCGAAAAAGTAAGCCTGCACCTATGTGTGTTTCCTGGAGTCTCAGGCTTGACTTGAAGGGGGCGAGCTGGCCCATCTGTAGTGGCTGTGGGGTGGCCTGTGGCCTCCTCAGGTCATCTGAGTGGGGTCTAGGTCAGGGCTACACAGATTGTTGCAAGGACAAGTTTTATTTACAATTCTTCACAAGCAATACATTGTAAAATATGATAAAAATAAATTACTTAAAAAAAAAAGAAACAAAAGGATATATAATACACCCCCCATTCTTATCATTAGAATCAGCAGACCTAAAATCACAGTCATATTGCCATAAACATTTCAGAACCACTCAGTTTCTGTGCTTACGTCTTCTTATCTGCCTAAGTACGTTTCCCTATTGGATTACCACCAAATTATAATTTAAAATATTGGCAATATTATCCTTTGTTTGCCTATATGAAAAAGTATCAGTTAAAATTTTTCGTAATTTAAAATCTGGTGTTTTTACTTACTTTAGCCTAATTAATTCCGATTTTTACAATAGAAAAGTTGGTATCTTTTACTATAGTTTTCATGTAGGACTGCAAGCCCGGGGTCACTTTGGAGGAGATTATAAACTGTCAAGTGGGGTGGAACTGCAAGCCAGTGATTGTGTCCATTTGTAGACACAGTCGGTTGAAGTTCGGTGGAGTAGGCTCTGCGCTTCGCCTTGCTGGGGATGGCAGGAGAGACTGCTCTGCCCATTTTGCATGGCGCCCATGGCGGCTGCTGGAGAAGTCAGCGTCAGTCCCGCACAGGGTCCTTCCTCAATACGCTGGGAAGAGTGGCACAGAGTAGCATGTCCCACTTCCTCCTTGGAGTGAGCTAAGAATAGATTTAGGGTTTGTTTTGTTTTAAGATGTCATTCTTTAGAATGTTGTTACATTAGCAACAAATATAATCATATATAAATTCATAAACAGGAATTTTTCTATATTTTAGTATGTTTTTTCTTAACGTTTTACCTTTAGATTGTCTGTCCCTGCCTCCGTCCAGTGTGTTTTTCACTATCATTGTTTTAGACAGAATCCCAATTACGAATGTGGGATTACGTATGTACTTGCCCTCTTCTTGCTGTTCTCAGCTTAGCCGCACCCTCCAAGTTAACTGCTGTGAACTGGATTAGACCAGACTGCAGAGTCTGTATAATAATATTCCACGACTGTTTAGCAGTCACCTTGTGAGGGTGTTTCCCGCCTTGTCCCCTCCTAGCTGGGCTCCCTGTTGCATTCCCAGGAGAAGTGCTGCTGGGTTGCATTCCCAGGAGAAGTGCTTCAGCACATAAGGGTTTTTTTATTTTAATAGATATTGTCAAATAGCTTTCCACAAAAGCTGTAAAGTTCACATTTTTCCCAGCTATCAGAATCAGCTAAGGAATGTTCTTCATTATGGGGGAAATGTTAAAAGCAAAACCAAAAAAGAGTTCTGAGTCCTTCCATGAGTTCTTAGGCACTTTCTCTGTCTTGGGAAAGTAGGCATGGTTGACTTGAACAGTCTAAAGTCGTTTTATTTTGTTATGCCTCATCTTTTTGATGGCAGGATTATACTGTGCTACTTTTTCTAACTACCTATGGGAGTTATAATTCAGATGACATTTCTCTAGACGAGGAACGTGTTTAGCAGGAACGCCTCATCTTTTTGATGGCAGGATTATACTGTGCTACTTTTTCTAACTACCTATGGGAGTTACAATTCAGATGACATTTCTCTAGACGAGGAACGTGTTTAGCAGGAAGAGGGAACCACCCTGGGCCTGGGTGTTTCTCTTGGGCTTCAGCCAGGGGAACAGACACCTGGGATCAGTCGAGACTGCACTGCCAGGAGATTGTCTCCTGAACCCTCTCGTGACCCCTGCCCAGTGCTGTGGGACTGGGAGCCGCCAGCACATTCTCAGGGGTTGGCAGACAGAGGGAAAAGTTGAGTTTTAGGTGATGTGGGTGAGTTTGGGAAAGGGTTGTGTGGGCTAATGGGTTTGTGAATATAAATCATTTCAAAAAACTAACTAAAGAGTTGTGAATCTGATAATGAAACACTTCACTGTTTTTCAAAGGGGACCCTTATAAGAATATTTGATACTTCATCAGGGCATTTAATCCAGGAACTGCGAAGAGGATCTCAAGCAGCTAATATTTACTGGTAAGAATATTCATAATTTCCCTCTAGAGAAGAGCCATTGCTTTGGGTTGATGACGTGGAAATGGCCTGTGTAATTTGGGGAAGGGTCAGGAATAGCCACACCTCATCCATCACTCTAGCTGATTTTTTCTATAGTGTTTTAAAGTAAATGCTATAGAGCTTGTTAGTTCATCTGTAATTACTCCAACCTATTATGCTTTTGAGAGAATGAACTGCTTTCTCTGCAGTAATTGTGTTCTGACATCTTGTGGGTGTCTGAAGTGCTGAAGCCATGTTTGGCCATGGTCACAGGGCCTGGTGCTACCCTCTCACCTGTGGCCTTTGAAGGTATTGAGCAGCATTTCAGTCTGTAGGAGGAAAACATAATTAATTTATAAATTTAGTGGATTTACCTGTGGGGTCCTGGGCCTTGTGGCATGCAGAACACCCTCCTGTCTGTCTGCTGTCAGGATGGAGACTGCACATGGCCAGTGTTACCTGCCGTAGTCCAGGTAACCTCCAAAGGGGCAGCCTGTACCTCCAAGGGCCTAGTTGTTGGAGAAGTGAGTCTTTCTCACCTGAGTCTCCTGAGAGCCTGCCCTGCATGGCATGTGGGGGGTGGTCTGCAGGGAGCTCCTTCCCTCTCCCTGAGCACACAGCCTTTTGGTGCTCCATCGATGGGGCCCCCAGGGAGAGAGCCTTCCTGCATCATGCTGGATGGCGCCCTTGGCCCGTGGCCTTGACCCTCTTTGTGCGGGTTGGATCTCTGGTCTCCTCTACGTCTGCACAGAACCCGAGCTTCTACCGGTTTTTCCTGCAGCATTAACTTCAATCAGGATGCCTCCCTCATCTGTGTGTCCAGCGACCACGGCACAGTGCACATTTTTGCGGCTGAAGATCCAAAAAGGAATAAGCAGTCTAGGTATGTTTTAGGAAGTCTGGTGGTGAGGAAAAGCCCACAGTTAAAAGGATTAACCATTGCTTCAGTGTGGACGACCTTAATATTGAGTCAAGGTCGGAATCTTTATCATCTGTCATTTGATTTTTGTTGGGGTTTGAAAATCAGTACAGATTGTCTGACCCTGAAACAATGGCATTTTTTTTTTTTTTTTTTAAAGATGACCGGTAAGGGGATCTTAACCCTTGACTTGGTGTTGTCAGCACCATGCTCAGCCAGTGAGCGAACCGGCCATCCCTATGTGGGATCCGAACCCGGGGCCTTGGTGTTATCAGCACCGCACTCTCCCGAGTGAGCCACGGGCCGGCCCGAAACAATGGCATTTTTACTGCCCTGTCATTCGCTCCTTAGGAAATGTCTGATGAAGATCCAGGCATGTTTCAGGTGGTTTAGAACTTAGTCCTGAACTCAGATGGTTTTCCATGTGTTTACTGTGTTCAGAAGATTAGTTTGATGGCAGGAGAAACCTCTGCCTCTTTTAGTAATGACAGGGTCTGGTTTTATCATAAAATTATTTCTAAGGATTCAATTTTTTATATGTGAGAAATAAAAGATTAAAAGCAAAAATAGAATTTTAAAACAATCTTTGACTAACACTGTGTTAAAGAGAGCATTTTAGTATTTTTTTTTCCTTTTTGTCTTTTTTCGTGACCGGCAACGGATCGCAACCCTCGGTGTTGCGCCCGCACCTCGCTCAGCCAGTGAGCGGCCGGTCTGTATGTGGGATCCGAACCCTCGGCGGGAGCGCCACCACACTCCCAAGCGGCGCACTGTAGCAGTGTGCCACCGGGCCGGCCCTAGCATTTTAGTATTTTTAACAGCGTTCTGGGTTTAAGCAGGTCACATTTCTGTATCTTTTAAACTTTGTTTTGTGAATACGATGGCGCTTTCTTTTCTTCCTTGTCCTCACAGTTTGGCCTCAGCCAGTTTCCTTCCAAAATACTTCAGTTCCAAATGGAGTTTTTCCAAGTTTCAGGTTCCCTCAGGCTCTCCATGCATTTGTGCCTTTGGAACAGAGCCAAATGCTGTCATTGGTAAGTGGCTTTTCCTGAGTGAGAATGGCCCTCCCCCGCTTCTCACCCCGGGTCCATCCGCCAAGCCTCAGACCCAGCTTCCCATCGGGCCCTCCCCCAGGCATAGTCAAGGCTGCACAGCTCTGGTGGCTGCTCTCATAGCCCCCCTTCTTTCTCTCCTATGGGTACAGTGTGTCCCGTGCACGGTCTACATAGCCTGTAGGATGTTTTCAGCCCCAGCCCCACTCCTTCTGGGTTTCCCCAAGAAATTGTTGGGACACATCTTTTGGTTTTTTACAGATGACCAAAGAATGTTTTTTCCCTGTAGCCAAAACTAGGTGAACAAACATATGCCCTCAGAACAGTAGGTCTCTTGGCTCAGTGAGGGAGGGGCAGGCTTTCCAGGTGACTTTCAGGAGCTGCTCAGTGCTTCACGGGGCCATTCGCAGTGCAGTTAAGGACTGTTTGCTTTTAACTTTTGGGGGAAGAAGCACATGGGTAAAATGGTCTCCTTCTGTCCCAGCGATTTGTGCAGACGGCAGCTACTACAAATTCCTATTCAACCCCAAGGGGGAGTGCATCCGGGATGTCTATGCACAGTTTCTAGAAATGACCGACGACAAGCTGTGACAAGCTATGACTCTTCACTGGGGAACGCAGCCAGCACCCACCACCCATCGCCCCTCAAGCTCCCGGGGCTGGTGCCAGCGCCCCGTGGGCCTCATGAGCAACGGGCTTGAGGGACTGCCCAGGGACCTTGGTCTTGAAGCCATATGTGGTTGTCTGCATTCCTAAAAAAGGCTTCCCATTTCCAGTATTAAAGAAAGAATTACCAAGACACCGTAGATACTCACCGGTTCTGCGCAGCTCATGCTGAGAGCTGGCTGTTCCTTTAGTTCAACTGTGACGTTAGCTTAGTGGCTCCACTGCGCCCTCCCATCAACAGAGGAGGCTCCATGCAAACCTAGGGACTGAGCTGAGAGACGCACGGACAGGTCAAAGTTGGTTTTTGCAACAGATTTCTTCATTTTTACTGAGTCTGCAGTGGGGAAATGGACAAGTGTAAATGTCCTTACATGGCAAGCAGGTTCAAGCAGATCAAGAATACCAGCAGCCTGCCTTAGAGAAGGAGAAAGGAACTGTTCTCCTTTCTGAACTTGAAGAAAAACAACATACCCCATTAAGAGATCACAGTGTGGACGTTTCCCCTTGCGTGAACCCAGCGTCATGGTCTTTGGGCCGAAACGTGGCTGGGTTTTCTGTGCCCTCATGTGGGTGTCTTGTCTCTCTGTTGGAGCCCTTACAACTCCAGACCCACCCAGTGGCAGAGCACTTTGTGTCACCAACAAGAGCAGCCAATCCCTGGGGTTTGGAGGGGATTGGTGGGCAGCTTGGTGTCCTGGTTAAATTTTCTGTTAAAACTGAGTTTCTCTGTTTATATGTAGGGAACAAAGTAATGCATAGACTTAAAAATTAGTCATAGAAGAAAGCATCACTTAATTTGGAAGGACATCTCCACAAAACGGTGCCAGCATCCTCTGGCGGTTTGTGTCGGTGCGGAGGGAGAAGCCTAATCAGCGTGCCCTCTCCGCTGCCCGTCTTCGCCGTCTCCCCACCCCAGCATTTACGGAACAGCTGCACACTAACATTTTGGGAATGAAAGACACGACTTTTTTTTTTTTTTTCTTCAACACTTGGTAACTCACATAGGTTATGGGCTCCACATTGTCAGTACTACTTGAGGTATATATTTAATTTTCTTAAATTCCTTTTAAAGAAACTTAATTTTATGGTTTTGATTTCAGGTTGCAAACATTTAAGATTCACATAGAAACAAGTTTTCAGTTTTGCCAGTTCTTTGCTGTCTTGTAATCAACTAACTTTGTATGTGGATTTTGATGTAAAGTATGCATGTTACTTTTATGTGTATTTAATCATGAAATTTAATTTTGCACATTTATTTGTAATGTTTCTTTTAAATAAAAGTGACTAATTTTGTTGTACTCTGCACCTGTAAAAGGGAAATAGAATTGTGTGTTAAAAAGCGAACGTCCTTCCCCTTGTTTTGAGAATCTGGTTGGATTGCCGGCTTCAGAGCACGACTGGTCAGGGTGCTGCTGTGGCAAGAGGGGGTAGAAGTCAGTGCTGCACGCGTCGCGCCCAGAGCTTCACACCCCTGCTGCTTGCACAGCAGGTGGCCTGGCAAGGGATGGTGCTTGCTCCTTCATAGACAGCCTTGGCACTTCTAGAGAAGGGAAAAAGGAACACGCGTCGCGCCCAGAGCTTCACACCCCTGCTGCTTGCACAGCAGGTGGCCTGGCAAGGGACGGTGCTTGCTCCTTCATAGACAGCCTTGGCACTTCTAGAGAAGGGAAAAAGGATAATCCCATCAGTAGAAACTATGTGGCTGCAGGAGGGTCTGAGGTTCTGCTTAGACAGCAGAGATGAAGACAGTCATGTTCTCTCAGTTTTTGTGTGTCTTTATCAGCATCAGGCTAACCTTGGCCTTCCCTCCTTCCAGAGGCAGCAGTGTGCTACCCCTCAGGGAGATGCTGGTGTGCCTGAGGTGTCTGTCCAGCGGTGGCAGCCACCAGTGTGGTGTAGGGGCCGCTCTGTCTCTGTCTTAGCCAGTGTCATTTTGATTTGTTTAGCTTTAGATCTGACTTCTCGGGTAGGGGAGTAGGAAGATCCTTCACATTTAAAGGAGGGCCACTTTATAGTTTCCCCAAATACAGTCTAAGGTATTAAAAATTAAACTAGGAGTGAAAATCCATGAAAATGGGTCTTGCAGTGCGTACCAACAGCTTCAGAGCTGGTGAGGACAGCGGGGCTTTGTACGGAGGCCACATCGCTAGGGGCACGGAGCATGCCATTCCCCACACAGCCGGGGTACTCAACACATCCTGCTGACGTCAGGGTACAACCTCCACCCCTTCATAAGACGAGATGCAGGGGCATCACTGGGGCAGCATGTGAGGGGCCATGCCCACTGAGAAGTGTTGTCGCAGTGCAGGAGGCCAGGCTGGGAGCTGGCCATGGCTCAGGCCAGGCTCATCTCGGTGGTGGCCTCCCTGGTCAGCTTCACAGCTCACACCGTCCAGTGTGCTCGGTAGCATGTGAGGTCAGTGCTGGTTCACTTTATGAGGGGTGCAGGTCTGTCCCCTTGGTGTTTCCTCCTGGCTGCAACTTCCCTCATAGAACAGCGACTACGCACCACGTCTCTTCTGAGAAGTGCCCTGAAGGAGGCTCATGGATAGAAGGTCGAAGGCCTGGAGGGAGGCACCCAAGTGACGAGGCCCCCAGGCACCATCTGCCCTCCCCAGGTGCGCATGTCACCTTGGTTTGCCACCCTAGATCACTCATTCAAAGCATCGTGCAGAAAACAAGGCCGAGCTGCCACAGCTTCAAACCTGTGCTGGGCCCTGAACGTGGATGTCAAGGGATGCAGAGGTGGAGGTCCTTGCAGGGGACTCCAGAGCCCCTACCTAGCAGCTTATCTTTCCAGTTACTGCCTCAGATGGCATCCCCTCACCAGGCTTTCTGTCTGATTTTTCCAGCATGGGGGCACAGAAGACTCTTCGGCAGCATTTCTTACCTTCCCTTTCTCTCCCCCAGTGGTTTTCAAATATCTGTGGGGACAGTCTGCTCAGCCTTGCTCAGTTCACCTTCCTTCTCAGAAACCCTCGGCTCACCACAGCCGGCCCGTGGATGAGAGCCGTGATCTGCACCCTGTGTGTGATGGCACCGTGCGAACCCCCAGCTCCCTCCCCTCCCTCCCAGGACTTTTGCCAGTGGCGCTGGCCACCTGCAGTCTTGGATGACCAAAGGTTTTTGTATTTGTATTTTCTTTCTGCGACCAAACCAAACTTCTAGATGCCAGAGGTTATTTCACGTGACTTGGCCCCGCATCTTTTCTCAGTTCTTCCTGTTTCAAGAGGCATTTGATTGATCACATTTTGAAACTTGTGTCAAATGTTTCTTTTCAAAATGGATTGAAAAGTACTTATGATCAAAAGCAAAATGTTACTTGTAAAATAAAGAACGTATAGAAAAATAAACTTGTAAGCAAAATTGCCCTGTGTTTCCACCTCCAGAGAAGACCATTCTTAGCCCCGCACTTTGGATGTAAAATTTATAATTATAAGCAGCATTAAAAATCCTGTTTTTAACTTTTTACAACTCATGAACACGTCAGGACATACTTTAGTGGCCCAAGCATACTTATTTGTATTTTTTGTTATTAAAGACAATTAAGGGGCTGGCCAGTCAGCTCAGTTGGTTAGAGCCCC